GAGAAAGAGGAAGCGAGCGAGAGAGGGTGAAGGAGAAAGAGAGAGAGACGTGGGGCTCTTTTCCGTAATTTCGGGGTGAGCCGGCAGGGTCGATTAACGGGGCCGTGATTCACCCGTTAGATCGGTAAGGAGGAAGTTCGGTCGCTCGTCCGCGCGCGCGTTAGAGATCTCGCGATATTTCGATCTATTTTCTTAATCCTCGCAGCCGCAGTGGAGTACGCGAGACAAGTGTTTCACCTTGTTGATTTTCGTAGTGATTTCTCGTCGGAAGCTGGAAACTCCTTCTCCGAAGTGAAAATTTTACGACGATTCGATCATTTCTGTGAAACTGCCCGACAAATTTTGCACATGCTCGGCGGAGTGCGTAATACAACGACTCGCCAAGGACGTATAATGCTCGCAAGATTCTTGGAGGAGTTGTAATCATGTGAGAAAAGTATAATTATATATCCGCTGTCTCTCGTATAATCCTCTTAAAAATTGACGTGACGCATGCTCACTTAATGATGTAAGAGTCGACATTCATATATTTAAATTGGCTGAACGGCGCCGTGAACTGAATTAGTTATAATAAGAACGTAAAGTTCAGCAATACTCGCGGATACAATCGTAATTGCGATCGCTCGTTAATTCATAAATCCACGATGGCCTCATTCATATTTCCACTTTCGCGCTTTCCTTCTTTTTCCGAGTTTTATCACTTCTTAGTACGTTGCTATGATACGTTAAGCGTAAACTAGTTCCGCGGCATTCAAATTCAAATACACTAGACTCGTTCCATGCTGGCGGATCTGTTACACGCATTTGTCCGGTTCAACACCAACGTGCTGTATTTTACAATGTGTTATAATCATGTTACCGCAATGTTACTGCAGATAACGTACGCATCGTGAAACGCCCCTATCCGCAAATACATAATATTATCTATTTGTAATATAGAGGATGTCTCAGAGCTGTCATATTTTCTCTCGATTTTAGCTGTTACGATTCACGAATTTAGTGATGCTTTTGTGACGACGAAAACTTGAGAAGCTCGCTGTATTAAATATATCGCTAATATCGTCGTTAGTTAACTCTCACTACGTGTTAAATTTTTTTGTATTGGAATAAAGTTCGTTTAAAGTTAAGTAAAAAATAAAGTTTTGTTATCGTTATTGAAAGTCACAACACTTTCTACTTTGCAATGTAAAATAACTTCTTTACTTGGGTACTTCTTCTCCTAAAGAAATTTTATTCCT